CGTACAATATCGAGACGAAATGTTCCCGAATGGCAATCGATTACTATACGATTATCATACGAGAAACTCTGATAGTCGAATGCTCCTTACGACAAATATACGACAGCAGTCGCGTACCTGCAAYAGCAAGTGATACTTGAGTATCCTTTGCACGGGTTTCAAGAGATACGACCCAAGAGGTAACGAATGRCCAAGGTTCATTTGAATCTCCTGTTGAAGGAAATAAACCGTAGAATATTACCTATACAACCAAAATACGTGCATGATTGTAAAAAAATAGCAGGACGACAAGAGATGCAACGYGAAGTTGACTACTATGTCATGTTGAACTAGCCTCCTCCGCATGCATCACTAAGAATMACGGRMTTCCTKYCTTTTTGGGAGTCAGAAGATGGAGAATTTGTCAGTCGACCCTAACGGCCAAGATTACCGTTACAAASKAAGCCCAAAGGAGGAAAAAAGAGTTGTCTGGGGAGGAGGCTAATGCTGCAACATGTTCTGACCTGGATGAACGAGGCGGCTTCYCGTTGCCTTGTGCACTCTGTAAGGACTTCAACTGACCTAATATATAAATAGATAATTAGTGCTCTTAATATGTTTTGTTTTATGAAGTATTCAAATTCTGGACGTACTTAGGGTAGTTTGTACAATACTCAGTATAGGTTTGGAAACCAGTTTCCTGCAAGACAAATAACAACAAAGTGAAACGCCTCTGCATGGATAGAAACTGTGTACATTCGTTTGGGGAGGAAACTCTTCTTTCCCTACAGGAAAAAATTCGGGGAGGAAACAGGCTGCTACATGGGTTGCTGTGATGTACAAAAGGTACAGCAACTTTGAAAATTACTTAACTATAAGAGAGAGAGAGTGTGCACAAGGGTGATTTTCATCGGCCTGCAATAAGCAGATTTTAAATATCAAATTGCACTAAATAAGAAGGGTTCTGTTAATATATTTTAACAGATTGGTCTATTCTGAATTTTGCATATTATGAAAATTGTTCGCGGAAAATTAAATTGATTTGTTAAACAATACTTACATTCTTGACGAAACAGTCGGCAATTTCTACAGGATCTTCATCGGCATTTTCAATTTGTTTCAAAAACTCCCTAAAAGCAGAAATTAGTGAGGAGTATAGTGAGGAGTGAGCGTAAATGGAAAAAAGAGATAAAACGATCACGCACGCGTGTGACGGAAAATCAGTAAATAGAAAGAACGAGCGGTGAAGAAATGGAGAAGGGATGACAATACAAAATGAATAGAAAACCTCCCGCTCTGCTATCTTTCTTTGTCATCTCTTCTCTACGTTAATTTTACTAGTGAAAACAAACCTTTGGAATAAGTAAACGTTCTGTCGTGCTTTCAAAACTTTCAAACTTCTACGAATTTTTTTAAAATATCACTAAATTGTGAGAAATTGTAACGGGAAGAAATGGGAATTAATCATGTGAGGCGAATGGAACTGAGAATATCTGTCATCAATTGTACAACATTTATTCCGACAAAGCAGCCTTCACAATAAACCCTTTTAGCGATTTCTTCTGCGCCTGTGTTAGCTGCAAAACCATATAATAAATTCTTTTATTCACTAACAGCCCGTGCAAATATTGTAAGAGATCTGTGAGTACAAGACAATGGAAATAGTGTGAAATGTCACAATTTTTATCAAAATGTCTGAATATTTTGCACACAATTGACAAACTCAACTATTCAAAGTGGATTCAAAATTCGTTGCCGTAGATACTTACCTGTTAAACTCGTATATTTTTTCGACATTTATAAACAAATGTTGAACGTTTTCTTTTGAAATCGGACAATTCTTCATTCTCATGCATTGCAAATATCCCTAGAAAGGAAAAATTATCACAAAAAATACGGATTTGAATGGTGCACTGAAAATGGGAAGCGAATCGTTTGTCTGACGAGTAGACGTATGCGGGCGAACAGTCACGTGGTACATTAGCAAAAAATGTGAAAACGTGTTCCTTATCTTTGATTTGGTTACCCAGTAAATGATCTAAAATACAGCAACTAATTCACAAGACAATTAACCAATCAAATAGCCAATACATGAATTTAATGAATTAATCAACCAATCAAATCATCAATCAGTCAATCAATAAATTAATGAAAATAACCAATCAGTTATTAACAAACCAATTAATCAATCAATGAGGCAAATTCCTGTCAAAACAAATATAATAGACGAGCAAATAAACCAAAACATACCTCGATAATTTCCTTCAGATTATTCACATATGTTTTTTCAGTAGATAAGATCTCTTGTACGACTTTATCGATAAAGTTTATCGAGCCAGTAGATTGCCTGGCTAGACTTTTATCCTGAGGGGTCATCAGAAGACTGTCGTCATCCGTCCATCGGGAATCGTCTTTTTCGTGTTTTTCCAGGTCACTGGAATTTCTATTGTCCACACTATCAGTCAACAAAGCAGAATCTACTGGGCTTTTTTGTTCTTCATCCTCGTGTTCTGCTGTTATAACAGGCTTTGGGCTGAAGAAGGAAGAGGCTGACTTGGAAGTTAGTTTTGATTTTACGTCGTTGGATTTGTTTTTCTCATTTTCCGATGAATTGTCACTTTTAAGCTTATCAATTGACCATTTTAACTTTTTCTTAGATGACTGGCGAGGAGGGAAGAAACCCTTTGTGTCTCCGTTCACAGATTTTTTAGGAGATTTTGGACTCTCCGATTCTGATGAAATGATAGACGTTATGGGTGGCATCTCTGTGAAAAGAGGAAAATACATCAACATTTTCACCACACTGGTGTCCCTCAAGTCATACAAACTGTGCAGCGGACACCTTCACGTCCCGTGCGCGCGCTCAGCGTAAAAAAAAAGAATGATTTTCGCTTATTTCCTCGCTGCACCCTTGGGTCCACATGAGTTTCCAACATTTTATGACGTCAAGAGTGTGTCAATAAAAAGACATACATAATCAAAACTGAGCGCAATTTTTAACAACATCGCCAAAAAACGTACTTTTGGTTATAAATTCCGAAAATTACATTAAGAGCATCTTCATCTGTTAATAGATTGAAGATGAACAATTGCATATACAACAACAACCTCTTTCAAAAAAGGTTGTCGGATAAAATGGCGAATGGTTATCATTGCACAGAGATTGCTCGACAACAAGGAATCATGGGTTTTGCCAATTGATGAAAATATTAGTAAGATGTTTTGTTGTAACATTGGCTCCATTTAGTCTCCATTTACCCAAGGTGGACCAAACAAGTGAATGTTTTTACGTTATAAAGCGTAACCATAGTTCCTTTCGGTCATGCAATCCCTCTTCGACAATAGCCGTTCGCCGGCTTTCCTCGTCTAAAAAGAACTTTTTGTATTCTCACTTGTTCTCTCTCCTTGGTGTAAGCTGCTTACAAGGGCTGCCATAATAAACTCAACGTAAAATCTGCAAAAAGAGAAAGACAAAATAACTAAAACAGATAAAAGAATGAAGGGATTTTTAATTGGAAATTTAGGAGTTGAATTACGGGAGCCTTTACAAGGTACTATATATCTAGTCACGTTTTGAAATATCTGAGAATGTTCATAAATAGCGACTGAGCAAAATAAAAAAAGAATGTTTACTCGTAATTAACGCTGGAAACACCTTAATTAGTTGTGAGTTGTGCCAAGAATTAGGTAAACTGTTGCCTAGTGATACATAATATTGTTATAACATTGGAAAATCACAATCAAATTTTTTCTGGGTACGTAATGGTTATAATAATCACTGAATTAATTTAATTTTGAATGATGGGAAAAGCTTGTGAAGTAAAATAATACATTGAAACATATCAACTTTTCGCTTCTATACAATATACAACACCGGACCCTTTCTCGTGCTCTCCTAGTTATCCTCAGTGTTTCTTAAAGAGAATGGAAATACGGAAAATACTGGGAGTTTTAATGCTTTCTAATACTTCAAACACTTGGGATGCGTTTGTCATTTCATGATCTTCAAATCAACGTACTTTAAAAATATTGTTCTCAAATGTAACATTTTTAATTCATATAAATGTTACACTTTCGCACTGTAGAAAAATAAGTCCTCTAGATTATCAACTATAAATAGCTGAAATATTTCTTTTTACATTTCATTGTGTTTAAATGGCAAATCTACTCATGGGGCATATCATATTTCTAGTAGCCATGCGCCGTGTGATTAGCATTCTCAGTGTGGCCTTCATGATAACAAATTATATTATGCACCGGTGAAGACTACGACATCAATTTTACTTCGCTACATGTGTCAATGTCAGAAACAAGTACCTACGACGATAATTTTTCATTCGTTGATATATTATTCACGTGAGTGACCTTACAGAGATTGTACTGATTACACGGATTATGCGTTCCAAATACTTAAATTCKTACGACGCTTTTGTCGACGGATTTCAACGTTTAAAGATTTTCTAAAGGCGCGAGAAAACCTTCTAGAGCAACTATGCCCATTAACAATTAATCACTATTATCATGCAAACCAGAAAACAATTATAAAATACAATGGCGAACTTTCTGTTTTCTAAAGCTTACAGAGAGAATACACAAACATTTAACGGTTATATGTGTTTCAGTGAAAAAATTCTTAAATATTTTCAAAGGCGAGAGTATTGTTCAAAAGCGTTCAAATAACTTTTTAATGGAAAATATGTTAAAATCTCTTATGTCGTAATTGAATATGTTAGCAATAATGGATTTTCAGTTATAATCGATAGATAAATACCGAATTCACCATCAATTTTAGTAAAAATGCCCTCAATTACTCTAGTCGCGCATGGAAATATCTGTCTACGTAATGACTGTTTCCTGAATTCCATCTTGGTATCTGGTGAGAAACCAAATGTTTACATTTCGGAAAGACAACAATGATGAAAGTTTTCCAGCTARCTTTTCTTTATCGAGGAAACMAGTTCAATCATTGATAAACGRAGTATCTCGAAAAACTCAAACAGCTTTTTTGGATTGCATGACTTCAGGAAAGTCAGATAAATTAATTGAGGTTCACATCAGGCTAAAGCTGCATTTTGACAGCATTGCCATCGACGAACTCTGTTAGCTGATAATCAATGACCTTTTAAAATATCTAATTTTTCTTTGAAATAGTTCATGCCAAACTATAAGAGAAAAYCCATGGCATTTAGCCACTTCTTTGTGAATACTTCTCACGGTTTTCCAGCGCCRRGGTGGAAATTGTCAACTTCTCTGCGCGAGTATAATTCACCGGGTCATATTTGCTCAATGTTGACTCCTTTAGTTCAATCGGTGAATCGATTTCTGGAATTCTTGACAGCATCGCTAAGCTCATAACMTAAGTATCTCAATMGAAAAACTTTACCGCTAGGTTTGTTTTAAAGTTTTAACCATATTGAATATAAAGTTGCCGGCTATAGTTTGATCTTGTGCCCTGAACACTAGCTCGCGCAACATGAACACATCAAAACATTTGCAGGAATTAGGGTTTCCAGTTTCATAGTAATAAGAATACCTCGCTTGTCCACCAAAGTCATCCTATCAAATAGCTCTCTTTGGCCATGAAGACTGCACCAGGTTTTAAACCAGCCTGCTAAACATTTACATGTTAACTTGTTTACGAAGTTGCAGCGCCTTCAACTCCCCAGAAGTCGAGCTCTGTCAACAACTACAGCATCATAAAGGACGGTAAATTTGGTAACACACCGACGTACACACGCKTTAAGTCTAAATGAATACACTTCTCAACATTAAATTCAGAAACCTTATAATTTCTGGTCGATAATATTCTTCAATGTTCACTCGACAGCCCTTCGAGGCATTTTGGGTAATGAGCGTGCTAATCCAATCTAATTTGCGTGACAAAGARCATTGATGGCGTTACTTGGTCACGCTGTTTTTAAAAGTCAACAGGAACATACCGCAAAGACAAAGTCTCGTTGTCACCTTCAAAACCATCATTTCCTTTCTCATAAGTGAAATGCTTTGTGGAATGCTTTCATGGATTGTTTTTTATTTAAACAGCTGCACAATAAATGTTTTCAAAATTTATTTTTATAAAGTGCGAACAACAACCCTGCCGAGTGCGAAAAAGATGAAATTGAGCGACAACTATTAGAAAATATAATTCGCGACACCAATGACTCAGAATTAGATAACATTCGGTTCCAGTCAGTAAAATTGACCATAATTTGTCTTTGTGATAATCGACTGACTGAAGTGAGTTCACTATGGCACTTGAAGTTGATAACACGGGTTTTCACCACTTCATGTTTTGCTGCCCCCCATGTACTGCTAATGTTACGCTACTCTTGGGCGAGTTTACTAATAAAGTATTTACCGGTGTGAGATACTTGATGTTGCGGGAAGACCGAACAGGGGGATTCATGGCTACTTCCTTTTCCCACTAGTYAAATATTCACAATTGTTATGAAAGATCTTTTTAATTAACGATTACTTTGTGAGTATATTGTTATAGGGCCGGCAGCTCCATGCAGAAGTATATAGGTTCCAGTTTTGAAGAAAAATTCTAAATGATGGGATGCAAGAAATTAAAGGATCGATCATATGCGAAGAGTGTTTCTTGTTCACTATAGCTGGCGACGGCTATTGCAATAAAGGGGGATGCTTTCTTCAYATTAGTATCTAGCTACTACAACATAGTTCTCAAATCAAATAATCATAAAACTATAAGCTTATTAAGTAATGTAATTTTCTTAAAAAACATTAGAACTTTTTTCCTCGAATCGTAGTCAATAGTCAACTGTACTCAAGCAATATTCAGCAGTCGACTGCCAAAGAAAAAACTGAAAACAACTGATATCAATGACATGCATTTATTCACACACCATGTCCCATTCAGTTTTCACTGAAACTGAATATCTACTAAGTGCTAAATACTCGAAGGTTCAAAACCGGGTCAAGACGGGGGGTTGTTAGGGTGGGTAGCAATAGTCCTTTTTCATTCAAGTTTCAATCTAGAGATAGAAATTATGATATGGATGGGTTAAATAAGAAGTTAAATCTAAATGGGACTCATTTTTCCGAAAAACAACTTCGTAAAGCAGAATTCTTCTGAAAAAAGTTTATTTTCCGCARCCCTAAGTCTAGGCATCTTGATATTTTTTTTCTTTTTGAGTTACAACCCCCCTTCCCTTTGTAACGTTCTCAGGATGCGCCACTTATTTTCTTTCTTGTATTGAAAAAGACACATTAAAACGATGTCAGATTATAAAGCTCTAGGCAATATCGTGACCTTCCATATATCTAACGATGCATTGATACTACCTGAAGTGTGACCACACCGATAACCTTTGAGATTATACAACTGTGAAATTAAAACTGAATTAAACAGGTCGATACAGTAAAAGTTTTGCATTTCTTTCCAAAATACTACATTAGTAAACAACAAATTGCTTTCCCCTAAAGAGAAGCGGCTGAGGCATCATCAGATGTATTTTGCAGGGACGTCGGAACGTTTTAGGAGTATACTTTACGTTTATTTCTTAATTTTTATTCTCGGAATGAAAAAGTTGGGGGGGGGGGGGGGGGGGGTTCTATGAGCCCCCCTAGCCGCCCCCGTCTCCAACGTCCCTGTTTTGCATGTTCACGACTTAGCCAATCAGAAGTCGCCTAATAGACAAGAAATTACACATCAGTCTTTTTTATGGCGAAGAGAGTATTTCTGTACTTAAAGTCTCGATATTAAATCAACGTGTGTAAAGACTGTATCACGAAATAAGGTTTCAACCTAGTGTCCTGTTTGTGTAATTAGAGTCGTTACTTACAATACAAAAAAGACTGTGGCACCGGTTTTTGTGGCGAAGGCATTTACCACAATCAAAGCTGTGGAGATAGTGATATCGCAAGTTTATTAGACAGATCATACAATCGACAATAAACAACACAACAGGATATCCCAGATGTATCCCAACACATTAAAAACTCATTTTCAATGTTTTTCGTACTTAGCCGCGAGGACCAGAAATAACGTCATTGACCTTTTTATCTCCCGGTTGTTATTTCCCTGGCAAGATTATCGTACAAAAAAGCTTATTGAACAAAAACGAACAACAAATCTACTTSAATTATCGAGTTATTTAACACGAAATATTTCCTTAGTTTTTCAGATGATATTTATAGTGATTGGACCGAACTGACAGGTTCTAGATGTTCATAATGGCGTCACAAGAGATGTGACGTCACTGACCCATAACATCACGTATCTCGATCGATAACTATAGGCAATCAATAGGGAAACAATAGAACTGGTTAACTATCACTTACATACTCCCTATGCGAGGACAAATAACTTCTATGAAGTACAGGAAAGTTGAATTTTAATCCAACTTCAATAAACATGAGTCCGAAAAATGTTCGCAGTTCATTAGAGGGCAGATATATGAACCACAAAAGCCACGATTTCCTTAGTTTGTATTCCCAGCATATTTTCACTCGGTTTTCAACTTGAGAAAGACGACATTAAGTTAAGGAATATTTAGTTCGTTTAAATTAAATTATATTATCCAAACATGTTTTTGAAAACATCAAATCAATGTTCAAACGGTTTGGCAAAATGTACGAATCCGACAGGATATTCTCAACACTTAAAAAGCAGACACTCACATAAAATACTTGTACACGTGTTTCAGTAAAAATCTCGCGAACTATTAAAATAAGTATACAGAATATCCTCTACTTTCCATGAAAGGTTATGGCTTATGCTCGGCCATCTCGATAAATATCTGATTTCTTTCAAATCTCAAGCGGAAGGTTATCACTTACCGAAGCGGTMGAGATCCATTTCGACTTTCGTCTGTTTCATCTCAAAACTCGTCAAGCCTTGTTCAAATTTAAGTAAGAAACACCACAATGCCGTATTAATAAACTACAGCGGACTACCCAGGGAATCAGTTCAGAAGTGAGTGTAACCTACGCAAAGAACGGACTCAGTGGCAACCTCATATGTCAAGATCGATTACTCGGAAATAACGATGAACAAGACGCTTTAGTCAGTCAGGTGCACCGAGCTATACCCTCACCTTCCGGTCTCTCGACTCAAGGGCTTTTTGTCCCCTCTTATTAAGTACCTTAAAAAGGTTATTTCTGCACCTCTGCAAATTAAATTTAGGCCCYAATAGTTGGACTCGTGATATGTCCGAGAAAAATACGTAAACTTCGGATTTAGACTTCGACTATGTTAGAAAGGAACTATAAATTTATTTTTGTGGAAACCRATACATGCTACTGGACATGAAATGGTTTCCGCGAGGGCGTATAAAGCGGCCATATGGCTGAATGCCATACATTGCTATAAAAAGAGATGGGGAAAAAAAGAAAAGAAAAAGAAAAAAAGAAAAAAGAAAAAATACCATAACCCTACAAACGCCAGTTTCGAACTGGGTATTAGAAAAAAAACGCAAACAGAGGCATTGTCTATTAGTTCGAAATATCGAGCTATTGTAGCTGATAATACTTTATTTTTCTATTTAGAATAGTGAGATAACATGATATCATTATCGCTTTTTACTACACTTTTTGATTGTAATTCTCTTCCAGCCCACCAAATAAAAGACATCGTTCGAATGTCCAGGAGTATTTTTTTTAGGAAAACAAAAAAATCAAAGATGGCGTCCTTTTGATTACACATGAAGTGTACGACCAACTTCAAAGTCTATGCGGCAAGTAAAATATCAATATACATTGGATAATATAAGTAAGCGACTACATGCACTAAATGAGGTTGTTTAAAAATATAACACTTTTAACAAATGCATAATTGGATGAATCACTTTACTACAATTATTCAAGAATCCATGTCGCGAGACCTGAATTATTGCCAGAAACTGATTACCTACCGACTCCGCTCCAATGTTATCTACCCTATTGTTGTAATGATACAACATATTCCACCTCCCATGATTAATTTTAAACCAAGGAGACTGGGGACGAACCGTATAAACATATAAACTCCGTCATCGTATTCTTTATCATGATAGTATCAACTAATACAACTACCAGAATGCTTTGCCTACTTTCTTTCGTTATGTGATTTGTCTAAATACTCCATTTTGAAATTTTCTGAGCCATCTTGAAAGGAAGCCGGGCCTTTTCATCAAAGCAAGACGGTCATTGAGCTTACAATGATAGATACTTGAGAATAATTGTCTTAGGTGTGAACAAAACGTAATATCTATCACTGCAGGCTCAATTCCTGTCTTCCTWTGATACAAAGGCTTGGCTACTTTTCAACGTGTCGCTTGGAACTGTAAAATGAAGAGCCTTCTGTTAGTTGTAGTAAAAGATTCCATCATATCATCCATTCTGGAGCTCAGGAGAAAAAAACACAACAATGTTGGCGCAACAACGACCAAGTGATTATAGTCGGTTGAATATTGTCGCCGTCTGTAATAACCCCAACGTGTTGGGCTAGAATGCTGCGCAACGTTGTGTCGAACTTCATCAAGTTTATAAAATGTCTTTTCATTAAAATGCAATCAAATATATTCTTTA